TCAGCTTTTCCAAACTGAAACTATTCGTTTTCTTCTCGTATTTTTTTCTTTCAGTGTCAGCTCTCTCACTCTACCCTTAATCCATGGATGAAATTCACTTGAGAAACATGCACCCTTCTCAGTTGCGAATGAATGAACACCACCATAAACGAATGATCCACAGGCAAACACTCATGCACATTTAAAACCAAAAGCTCTGCTAAGCAGGGGTTCTCTGCATTCCCAGATCATCAAAGCCTCAGTTTTGCTCAGAAAAAATGTAGTGAATTCAGAGTAAGACCTTACAAGTTCCTCCAGCAATACTTGCTGAAATCTGATGAGCTTTTTCTATAGATAAGCAATTGTTTCTCTACTAATCTTCAAAACACATCATGGCGATGTGGAACTCCGGGCTATGGCAAAATTTTTAACTAAACCTGCCAAAACTCAAATATTTTAATTCATTCCACCCAGGTGAAGAATTTTCCCTTGCATTAAATAATTTTATATGGGACCCTGCTCTGTTCTTATTTTTTTATATCACTCTCTTGAAAGGGAAGGAATGAAAAAAGTGTTGCTATGATGATTTGGAGACAGTGAATTAAGTAGAATAGTTACATTAAAACTACTTACACACTGACTGTGCATAGCTGGCTAGGAAGAGAGCTGGCATTGGGCATCAGAAAAAATAAAATAAAATTCCAGTAAGAAGTCTTGCACATACTTTGAGATTTACGAAAAGCTCATTATTCATTATGCAAAATGCATTCATACATTCAAAATAGTATTCCCGTAAGGAAGGGGAATGAGCCAAGTATCCAACCGTGTCACAATAAAGAATGGAACAACCTTGTGTTATCAGACAGGGACAGGTTAGCTGCTTTTAGTGTAGTTTTCTATTGACTTCTGCTATGGAGCATGACCTCAGCAACACACTGCTCAAAATGTAAACATAGAGTCAGAAGGAGTACTCTACAGAAGGATACAAAATTCCAGTGAAATTCTGAATGCAGCAAATTCAAGAAGCAGTACTATTCAAACAGTACAATAGTAAATGGAGCACAAGTCAAAACTTGGTAACAGTTTAGATACCTATTTGCCTAGACTGCTCAAACCAGCTTGCTGAGGAGCTTGATGTTTTGAAAGTAATTAGCCTGGTAAAAATATGGGGAAAAACAACCTTCTGGTTTCTTGCCATGTTTACTCAGCTTCATGTTTTATTACATATATCTGAAATACAGCAAAAACAAAAACACAGAGAAACTTAGAAAAAAATCAGTCACTAAAAGAATATTTATTTTAATCCTCTTGATTATTTTTAATTGTTTTTTATAGAAAGCAAATGTTATTCTGTTTATGGAATGTAACATGTACACCAGACCCTCAAAGCATGCCTCAGCTCAGTGTCCAGTTGGGCAAAGAGAAGTCTCTGTTGCACCCCTTTCCATGTTTGCAGCTGATAGGGAAAACGACCAAAATGTCATTAGCACAAATCAGCCCATATTTAAAAAAAAAGAAAGAGCAAACGCAACCAGAGCACAATTGTACTGAGGTTAAAAGTTATTAACTTTTAGCACAGGAGAAGGCTGACAGACAGTGCAGAAGACAAGCACCTGTAAATGGAGGTGAAACTGTATCTCTATGACCTTCACTAAATTTGCAATTTTTCCTTCTTATACTGTCTAAACAGGGTTATAATTCTTTCTTTTTAAAATGCTAGATTTAACATTCTCAGTTTCCGTTACTTTAGATGTCTGTACCTCTCAGAGCTCTACATTCAGCTGAAAGTCAATGCTGTGGATCCTTCAGCTGTACTGGAAATCTCATGTGAATATTCTCCCCTCATTAGACACAGTGAACATCCATTAATATCAGTACTGATTTGGTGTATAAGGTAGACAGTACAGAGCAAACCCGGAAGCTCATGAAACACAACTTTGCTTCCTATATTAAACTTCAGCTCTTTTATCGATTCTTTTGCTACTCACCCTTCTCAAGTATAGGACTAAAATGCTAAAATGCTTGCAGACTTCATTATAAAATCATAAACTGAGGGCCAAAGAAAAAAAAAATCAATAATGCAGACCTGTAGTGGTTAATATGCCAGTAACAAACGATCTTTCCCAATTTTACCTTGTGTTCTTTGCTCATTTTGCAAGAGAAAGCAGAAAATAGCTTTAAGAAATGTTGAAGTTAAATGTAGCCCTTTATTTCTAGGAAAGAGAATATATGAATTTAAATCATTAAACAATAATTATACTCTGAACATTGGAAGGATTTGCAGTGAAAATATCGAGTTGAGATTAAGTCAATAAAATTAATCACTCGTGACCCTGAAGGAGCAAAGGAGTTGAAAAATGCTACAAAATTAAAAGCTACCATGAGCAAAGGGACTTGGGGAATTCATTTTAATTCACCACAGCCAAGTTCAAATACAAGCTGTTCTTTGTTATTCAGCCCAAGGTATTATTTTTCATACAGACGCTCACATCTGACCAAGCCATAATCACATACCGTAGAGTTTTCTTTATCTGATTGTAAAGTTTCCTGTTTTAGCTATATATTAACAATGAAGAGCATATAGACGGGGTTGTGCCTGAGCGTGCACTATATTCTGCTCACCTAACCACATCTATCAGTGTATTATGTGTTTCAGAGCTGGGATTTGAGCAATGGATGGTGAAATTGGCCTTAAGTCAGTACTCTCTCCCTTACATGGACTAAATAGACATTTTATATTGCAAATTCTTTGCTTTTCCATCATGAGCAGAGAGTTCTCATGCAGTTGCTTAAGAGAAAGTGATGAATGGCAATAAGCCCTTCTCTCTCATTTGTGTCTAATGACACCCCCTTCCAAGGACCCACAAACTACGATGATGGGCAGAGAATTCTTCATTGAAGTTATCTAAGAAACAAGATGTAAACTTAAAAAGTTGAGAAGGACATAGGGAAGGTTGTGTAAAGGACACATGATCAACCACCCAAGAAGTTATCCCTAATTCAAATAAAACATGCTTGCACTTTTGGATTTAAAGTGACCTGATCTGAAAATCTGCTCTGAAAATAGCTTTTGTGCTCTGTGTGGCTCTGTACTATGGGTGAATTTTAATGTTACTGAGAAATTTAATTTTATTAAAACTAGTGGAAGAACCTAAAACCAAGTAAGTAATGAGGTCTCTTCTCTGTTTTAGTGTAGTATACTTGACATCTGATTTTGCAACTATGAAAGTGGGGACAGCTGTATTTTAGTACTTTGAAGTAATGAGAATTGCTTAATACATGATATAAACTAACACATCCAAGTGAAACCAACTGACGTTCAACTATTTTTTTTAAGAAGTGCTTTGAAAAAATACCGACCTGGGAACTATTTGTATTGCCAGAAATAGTGAATTAGGAGGTACATGAAAAGTCATAATCATAATTAAAGGCAACATCCAGTATTTTCCACGACAAAATTCCAGTGAGAATATAATCTACAATAGGCACAGCTTTACATTGTTGGCCTGACATGGATTTTGTTCCAGAATATTTGCAAGAATTAGCTGAAACCCTTGTTTATTTATAATATTTTCACTGAAGCTAGTTTAAATAGACAGATTTTTAAAAGATTTCCAGAAACATATAGTAGCCATCTGCAGGCAAGTTTATTCCTGAAAAGACATTTATGAATTTACATCCAAGACAAATAAAGAGCTGCTGGGCAATCAAACTGGAAAAATGTGTGTTTTTCAGACAGAAAATAAACATTTGTTTCTACCCAGTTGATGTACAAGTACCATGATTTTAAAAGTAAGAACATAACTTGCCGTGCACAATGTTCAGACTGAATTCCTGCTTGAAAATTAGAATGTGTAAGTATACTTGACTATTTAGATTTTTTTTTTTTTTTTTGCTTCTTCTCAACATGAGGGTGCAATCTTCACATTCAAGTCCCTGTTTCCAGCACTTTCCTCAACTATTACCTTTGTCCTAAAATATTCTGCCCTTATTTTTATTCCTACTGATACCTTTATCATTTATACACCTCATGTTTGAAGACTATCAAGTTATTCCTTTAGATATACATGACTTAAGATAGTGTATTTATTTAGGTGAAGAGCTTTTAAGATATCTTTGCACTGGGTTTTTGCAGAAAAATTAAAATATCAGATGTATCATCTGCGCAGCTCCCAGTGAGGAGAATGAGAAAAAAAATTAGAGGTTGTGGGGAAAAAAAAGAATGAAATAGATACAGGCCATACTCTCTTTTCTAAAGTAAACAAGGTCTTGATCTATTAGTTTTTCAGAAGATAACTTTCTGTGTCTATATGAAACCCCCCTAGAATCTGTAAGAAACTTCACTGATTATTGTACAATCACTAGTTTTACAACAATCTTACAATGACAGGCTAGTGCATTCTTCTGAGAATGTTACATGATGGATCAGTGACGTATATGACACAATTACGTTAATTCTGTAGTCCATCTGATTTAAAACTGCATTTCTCTTGCACTGGAAAAATGAGATGTGATGTGTGCCGGGCTTCCTAAAGCAAAACACAGATAATATAGTTCTTTCAAATGGGATTTCCTTTGAAATAGTACATAACAGTAGAATTTAGGTGTGGTTCCCCAACCTCCTCATGGATTAAAAGTGTGTTTGGAAGGAGTTAGCTAATGGTTTCTGAGCTGTGCTGTACCACTCCCGGAAATCTCTAACAGCATTAGCAGCCAGTCCACATTATTCAACTCCCTACAATATTAACTTTCACCCACACTAATATTTATATAACGTGTGGTATTTATATAGTTTTAATTCACAGTTTGTTTTAGAGAGAGAGCTGTACACGTGCAGGAGGATAGGTCCATTAGTGTCTGTTACTCACAGAGGCCTAGAAGTAGCCTCTGGATATACCATCTTTACATTGCTGAGTGCCAGAAAAGTCAACCAGAATAAACATCTTGCTCCTCTTACCCAGTATCTTATATACTTACCCTACACAGTTAAAACAGTCTAACATCGGGAGGATCTGTGCTAGCCGAATCTGATCTTATGGCCATTCTTAAGTCTTCAAGGTACCCATCACTGCCTCAGCTAAGGATCAGGACCCACTGTGCTCTCAATTCCCTGCAACATATTCAGAAGGATGCAAAGTAACTTTGATGCAATTAATATGCACCGTAGATTGAGTGTGCACCCATATCCTCTAGTTAACAAGACTCAGTTCTCTGTACCATGAAACCATAAAGTATATCTTCCTGGAGAAGAATGGAAGTTGCTGCAACAAGAGGTGCAATCTGAACCCCCCCCACCCGGCACAAAAACAGCTCCCAAAACACACTGCTGCAACACAATGGCTTCATGCTATAGAAACACACCCTAAGGCCCAAGAGTCTTCATACACAGTTAATACCTGAGAAATTTGCAAATAAAGATGGTGGAGACAACACTCCAATACAGACACTTTCAGAGGACTGTGGACGTGCTAGCTCACTTGCTCTGATCCCAGTTTACTTCAGCTCACTCACACATGTAGTCCTTTTTTAAATGGTGTTCCTTCAGCCAGGCAGGGTGTGTTTTACTTTGTACATCTAAAGACTTTTATGGCAGTTCAGAAACAGAATAATGTGCTGAAATATCATTTTCTAGGCACACGATATCTGTGCAAGGTCTTCAGGATCAAGCCCTCAAGCATCTAAATCCTCACCGTAAACCATAGCAAAGTCAAGCTAATAACTGCCCCCTGTTGCTCTAGGATTTCTCATAGTTGATTTTCTACATAGAGTGCAGAAAAAGGTTTCCCAGAATCAGTCTTTAAAAGGACTGGAATCTTCACGGGCTATTTCCTTGTTAAATAAGTTTTTATGTGCTACTACCTCCTGAATATTTGCAAAATGAGACAAAATCTTCCATGTTTTGAAGGGCAATTTTCAAAAATATCTGGAAAGTTTTCCATGAACTCATAAAAAATAAAAACGATCCCATCTTAAGCTTTAAATTTTCGTTTCCTTAAGAATACTGCTTATTTAAACCAGATTTTGAAAACTTTGCTATCATTTCAGACTGTATAGCAACAATTTGCAATGCTAAAAATATTTCCTTCTGCAGCACAAATCCAGAAACTACTTTTTTTCTTGATTTAAGAATATTTTAATTGGAAAGATTATATATTTAACTCACTTAAGCAAGCAGTTTTCTTCTAGAACATCTAGTTTTCTGTTAGCACTGTTAACTACTTCATCTTCCTTCCTATGCGCATATACGTCATGTCTGGAACAGAGCAAAATAAGAACCACATGTTTCTTATAAACAGTTGGATGCTTTGCATATAGATGGTGCTTAGCTGGAACAACTATAAAGGAATAGAACACAAGGAAACAGTAGGTGGAAGACAGCATTTTAGTCAGAAAGCAGGAACATGAGTAATTAATCATTAATATGGAAAAAAGCAGACAGCAATAGGAGGAGGGAAGTGGTTACTAACAGAGAGAAAAAGATTTTGTTAAGCTCTCACCCAACCACAGTTTCAGCCTTGTTTAAAGTATACGCATCAACCACCATGCTGAGTCTTGACTGAACCTGTATCAAATCCTTAATGGTCTATTTAGACAGCTATAAGTAACAAGAGAATTTGCCCTTTCAGCATTCCTTACTGACTTACATACACTTACTGAATTTGTTATTTAAATTTAAATTGTTTAAAATTAAAGACAACATAACTCAGAATTTTGATCTTAGTTGCATCTGGTAAAACACAGAGTAACTCTACTAAAATTAATCCTAATGCCTGATTTTGTTAAGTGAATTCAGTGGAGTTGCACAGATTTATCACGGCACAATCCAGATTGAAAGCTGACTCCGAGTAGTATCAGTGCATAATGGCAGACTTGCCAGATCTCATACTTCACACGCAGGACATTCATCTGGCTTCCTTTCTCTCCCCAGTGCCACACAGACAGCCACACTACAGCTTCTCAGCTTCCCTTCAGCTTTGAGATCCAACATCAGATGCAAGTATTTAGTCTGAGTACAAACAGTGTTTAGCAGATGGGCTCTGGCAGGCCTACAGGAAGGCCTGGGTTGATGCTTGGCGACACCCCAGCCTCTTGGTCTTACAGGTAGGCAGCAGCTGCGTGTCTCATCCCTGCACAGTCCCAAGCACAGCAGTCCTACAAGAGCAAAACTGAGCTCTTCACATCAGCGATGAAAATATTCAGCAATTACTGCAGCAATTCTCATTACAATGAAGCATTTGCAAGACAGAAACACAGGTTGTAATTTACGTTGTACTCATACTAAAAAAATGTGCTTTATTAACTATTTGTGGAATATGATAATTTATAACTTCTGGGCTTCCATGGTGATCACCATGGTGATGCACTATAAATTCAGTGAATTGCTTCTGCAAAATGTATTTTCCTCTCAAAAAGAAAAGAAAACATTGATAAAGAATGCTTCTTTTTCTAGCTAGCAGGCCAAAAATTGAGGCAAATAAAAAGCAAAAGGTTGTGAGAAGGGCAACCCTAACATGTCACATACATAGCGATGCTTGTCCTTCTCACCATGATACATCAAAAAAGGTTTTTCAGTATCTATCTGATGAGTGAACATCTCTCTGTTGATTAAGTTACTAAACAGAATATTGCTCTATAGCTAAACCAAATCAGCTAACAGTATTAGGTCACAGTCATGTTTTTCATTTACATTCACAGAGTCAGACTTGCTACTTTGAGATTATTCCCTACTTTACCAGTAGAAGTAAAAAATAAACAAACAAACAAAAACCCACTCAGAAGATATTACAGATTTGACTTGCCCCTCGCTACAGAAAGGTTAAGAGCCAAATTCCACCTTCTTTAGCCAGGTCTGAAAAGGATGGGGCTTGGGAGACCGGTATGGGGTCAAAGCACAGTGAACTTCAGTTACTCTTTTATCTCCCTCTGTTCCATCCATTATCTTCATCAGCACAAGTGATATTGTCTTTTAAGGATAATTAGGAAGCGGTTAAGTTTAGAGCAGCCCTGTGGCTGTCCTAAAACAAATGGCTGGAAGAGGGATGACAGAGAATCACCACATTTTTATCCTACACAGCAGCACATGGGGACATAATGAAAAATACACTGCATTAAAACCAGAAAAATAACTCAAGAATTCTTGGCTCTTTGTTCTGTCTGAAACCTTTTATTTCTCATACAGACACAGAGCTACTTCAGAGCTTCGTTTAAACTAAAAGCCCTAATGGGAATCTACACCAGATAAGGGTAGAGTTTCTTAGATTATGAATTAGGAGGCAAAAGCACTTAAGTTAAGCAACAATCAAATTTCCAGTTCACAGTCAATGCTGTAAAGTAGATTGAAAAAATTGCTTCAAGTTAAATCATAAGTCTTTCCTGATTTTTTTTCACACACACACACACACACACACAAAATATATATATATATACATATATATATAGGGGGATAAGTAGGGATAAGTACTTCATTCAACTGTTTTCATTCCAGAGTTCTTCCCACTCTTAGAGGAAAAAAGCTTCTAGATGATACATGTCATGCAGTCTGTATCTTGCTGATGCTAACCTTATCCATCAACAGTCTGGGAAATATGTGCCTTGACAAAAGGAAGCAGATGTGCCTTAATCCTCCCAACGTGTACTATGGGATGCATTTCCTCTGTCATCCAGGATGGCTTCTCTGGTGCCCTTACATTTCTTGGTAAAGGCTGAACAGAGTATTCATCATGGAATCAGACCTTCACTTGGGATTTGTGTATTTTTCAGTCCTTTGATCACATGCCTCATATTTTACCTTAACTGAACCATCATGGACATTTGAAGTTGCTTTTCATTTTTCATGAAGGGGAGCTACTGGAGTAAACAATCCTCCCCTTCTGCAAGTTCTCCACTTGGGATGCAGGAATCATCTTGACCCCACCTACAAAGAAGTATATAATAGGTGCCAGATGTAGGCTTTTCTCAAAAATACCATTTTAAAATCTTTACTACTTCTTGTTGATTGGAGGATTGGTTTGTTTTTCACTGTGCATCTCCAAGAAGGGTGATGAAAGACTGTTAGTGCCAAAAAGGGAAATAAACTGTATTTATTATACTTTGTTTATGACAAAGGCATAATAGGTTGTGCAATACAGAGAGAGTACAGTGGGTAGTAACTGAGGTCTGCCTGGAACTCTCTCTAGCACTGTACATCTGACAGGCTAAGACAATATCAGACATTGTCAGATCATTTCTACACCAGAAAAGCTGCCTGTGCCAGTTTCCAGTAAAATTAGTCCCCTGCTACAATACATTTGGAGGATACAGTCATATTTTGTTAATGAATCCCAGTGTTCCAAATTCATGTCTGAAAACTCCAGAACAAGTTTTGGCATTTAAACATAATAAATGCAATGGACCAGATTCGCTTGGGAACATGGGCTTTTGTCTTGCTAGGGAAGTACAAGACTTGAGGGCAAGTCAACGTGGTCAGAAGAGAACCATATTACTGTGAAGTATAAAATCAACAGTCCTATCTGTCATCAATTTTCTCCTAGGCAAGTGTGCCTTTTACCATTGTCTGTTCCACAAATTCATCAGAGCAGGAAGATAAATATGTGGAAGGATATTCTGTATTGCAACAAGTTCACACTGATATTTAACTACTGCTATAAACTCCACTGAAACCATAGCATAGGAAACCAGAAATTCAGAGGTGCATAAATGCTTCCTTTTCTTGGTGTATGTTTATAGTGCCCTTGGCAACACACTACATGCAAAATTCAGTATAGCAAGCCCCTAACATGGCCTGAGAAAGCAGCATAGTTTATATTTTAATGGAATTTCTTTTGTAAAGTATTTATTTAGAAGTGTGCATCACCACACATAAGCCTTTTTGCTCCTAGGAATAATTTAAAAAAAAATGGATAAGTGATTAGTCATTACTATCATGCATCTCCCCAAAAGAATATTCTATAAATATTCTTTCATCCATTATATTGACAGAACTTGAGTGCGGAGATGGGATATGAAACTTTATGGCACATTCTGAAAAGGAAAGGGTGCCATGTAACAAAGTAGGGGGAAAAAGGGGTTGATACTTTACTGTTGAGATATATAATAGGGAAAAAAAAAAAGAAAAAGAAGAATTGCTATAGATAACATGATGAATCAGTCCTGTAGCACTCTGCAAACCACAGCTTTTCTGAAGTGGATCCTACTGAAGAAATTGCCATGATTTTACAATGTTCAGTGTTCTTTATGTAGCTAAAATGTTCACCAGCAAAAGGCAGTACATTACTGTGCTAACTAGATCAAATTGATTTTCTGTGCAAAATTGGCCTGTGATTCATGAGATCTAGTTTCAACTGCCAGCTCTGCCCAAGATTCCCATAGGAGCTCAAGTTAGTCAAGTGTCCTTTCCATTCCACAGCTCCCCTTGTGTAGATAGCTCAGCAGCAAAACTGCTGAGATTGACAAAGGAGTTACTGGATGAAATTCTACAGTAATTATTATAAATTGTATGTTATTATCATGGAATAAGTGATATAAAATGCATGGCTCTCTATCTGCTTAATATAAAAATCTGTGGATATGCTCAGCTTCACGAAGTTAAAAACTTCAGCTGGTTCTAGTTAGCCTTTTTAAGCATCCAACTTGTGCCTTCTCCTAGCTGCCAAGGTCTTGTGCTTAAAAAGCATTTTGTTCTCAAAAATCTTGCCATGCTTTTATTGCAATGTTTTTATGAATCAAGTGACAGAGGAGATAAATGAGAGATCCACTGATCATTGTTTAAGAAAAAAGAAAAATGCAGTTAAATTCTTAACAATTGGGCAGGAAACCAGCAAGACAGATGACTATCTAGTGGTTACTTTCTTGAAGTGGTCTTGAAGGATAAATATTTAAGGAAAAAGAAAAGAATAAGTTCTCTTTTCCCTCAATTGATTCGTTTGTTTTATGACATAACAATGCTCTCTGGTTCCCATCCCCTTCAAATTCCAGATATAACCCTACACATCCATTACATAGGCGCAGACAGTGCCTAGGAAAAAATCTGATAGTATGGGTATAACCCATGATGGTTGTGAAAGCTGCAGTAAAGTTGTTTACTCATTTTGTGTTCATTAAAATAAAATTTCACTTGCATCTTGTTTAACAAAATGCCAGAAATTAGACCATAGTTTTTTTGTTTGCTTGTTTGTTTTTTTAAACTAAAGACCTAACCTCTCAAGGTAGCCATATATTAAAACATAGTGTTGGACTTTAAAATGAGATCCTCAT